GAGGCTTTCCGAGCACGAACAGCTGCACGCGACAACTTAGAAGGGGAGTTTGAGAGTGTATGGCACTTATGTCAGCGTACGAGAAGATGTAGGGAGGCTAGAACGCGCCTTCGACTTGAGCGCGAGTCTGACCTCACAGACCAGCTAAAGACAGCACTACGCACAAATCGTGTTGACATGGCCTGGAGAGTATGTTTTGAGATGGCGGGCAACGGGTTGCGACCTCGGAAACGAAACATATATGTGCTACCAGACTCTCAACCAGACCTGCAGACCGGGACCGAAGACCTGGCGCTGGCAGGAGGTGAAGGAGGACTCGAGGCAGAACGCGTAGAACGAGACACCTTCATCGCACAGGCGTCGGAGAGGGACTTTCCATTCTATCCAGAGATGGAGCGCTGGACTGCAGCGAATACTGACCTGGGACGTTTAATCGAGAAGCTCTCCAGTGGACATCGACGCCGTGCCTCACCGCAGTGGTCCTTGCCTACAGAGATACGGTGCCTTCTTATGTCCTGTCGTGACACCTGCCAGTCTGGAAATGAGAGACAACAAGTTGTCGGTCCAGTTCTACAAGAGTTTCTCCTGGCACAACTTGCTGGGATACGTCAACACCAAAGATTGAATGCATGGTGGATTCTCTCTCATACGCATCAGGTGAGCAAGCTGCACAACAAACCGCGGACACGTGGTTCACGATTGTTGCACGGACTTTGCAGCTTTGGCAAGGCATGGGTGGGAACGCATCGCGACGAAGCATGACATGACGAGTGCCTTCGCCAGCATGGATCACACTCACTTGGACCAGACAGCCATGAACATGCACACGGCAGAGGACACACCGATTATGATGTCGAGGCGCAAGCGTACGGCCTGCGCAGCGAATGCGCACGACGGCGATGGCACTTATCACAACAAAGTGGGATGTTTCATGGGCGACTCCGACGCCGCGACGAAGTTCAGGAAGGCGTTCGAGCAGCCGACCCAGCAGTGGAGGAAGGCGCTGTTCACGCCCTCAGCGGTGCACGAGCTGACGGCGGGCTGCCCCATCACGCAGAAGACCTGTGACCTTGGGGCGCGCAAGTACGCTGGCGACCTTACCTCTGCAAACGTCGTTACTGATGCTTGCAGCGCAGCGGTGCAGGTCGAGACCTCAGATCGGCGCCTCAATGCTGCGCTGGAATCTGCGGGGCTGCCCCAGAGCAGGGGGGGGAAAAAGGCGGCCAGCCCATGCGTTGTAGGCCGCGGCTCCCAACGTTCGACTCGTGCTTTGCATTATCATCGAGTGCCCATTGCTGGTGAAGTTCAGGCGACCTCGGTATTCCTTTGAGCTCGGACCCAAACCTCAGGGCGAAACGATGAGGAAATCAGGGCCAGATGTGCTGCCATGCGTGTCGGATGGCGTGGGATGGGCAAATTCTGGAGGATCTGCGCGTTCTTCGATCGTAAGAGGCTGGTCTTTCAGAGTCGAGTGATCGGGGCAGCGGCGTCGGGCCTCGAGGCGAGAGCCTTGACTGAGGACCAGAATAAGAAGCTCGACTCGACGGCTGTCCGCCGCGCGAGTGCACTGCGCCAAGGAGTCGCCATCTATCGCCAGCTGAACGAGGAGGGGGAGGAAGAGAGGTGGAAGGTCACCACGATTTGCGCGGAAGCCGTCTGGAAGAAGATCAAGGTGGCGCCCCCCAGCGTGGAGATAGTAGCACGTAGGCTCCGACACCATCAAGCACTTGTAACCCGCACCGCCGCGCCCAGGTGCTTGCGGCAGTCTTTGGGAAGGTTGCGTTTGAGAGCACGGCGCCTCAACAGTTCCCCTGGGCCCCTACGTGCACTCCCACGGCGACCCCGATTGACAAAACCACCCCCTGGGCCCTGCAGTTCAAGAACGACCTGTTCTTCCTGGGGGGGCTCGACAACGGGCCCGAGTTTCTGGGCGACGCAGGGCGCGACTTCCTGGGGGCCCTCCAGGCCCCCGAGCTGAGTGCCAAGGCTCCGAAGTTCAACTTGAAACGCCCGAGGAAGCGATGGTTAGGGGTCCCGACGGTGACCCCCCCCAGGCAATACGAGGACCAGGAGTGCTTCGAGGGTGGGTATCTTTGTTCTCTTCTCAATGGAGACGGTCTTGAGTGCGGGAAGAGGTTTAGGACGGCGCACGCACTACGGGCACATCAAACACATAGTGGAAGGGGGAGAGCACGGACAGTTGAACATGTTCACCAAATACACTATTACCAATCAATGTCCGCCGTGTGCCTCTACGTTCGCGCGTCGTAGAACTGCCATAAATCGCATCACAGCTGCGCGCCGCCTTGATTGGCACAGCAGTCCATGCTCAACTACCCAGTCGTCATCCCGCAGCAGTTTGTTCGTCCAGAGGCGGAGTGCGCACTCGAGTTCTGTACGCTAGAAGATCTACAGCGACGCATATCTCCAGCGCACTTCCCACCGCCGACTCCTAATGTCGCGGTTGCAGGCGCCGCCCGCTGCAGAGGAGGACCCCGCGCCCGCGCAGAAGCAACGTCGCAGAGGAGGACCCCGAGGATCTTCGGCACAGGCGGCAAACGGGGGCGTCGGGAGCCTGGGGCAGAAGAAGAAGGGCCCGAAGATCGTGGACCTCAGCGAACTCGACAGCGGGACGCGCGACGTCATGCAGATGCAGAAGCTTTCCCCAGTAATGATGCGACCCACCCTCAACCTTGCAGTGAGGCAGCGGCTGATAGAGCCCACCGAGTTGAAGACGTTCCTGATGTCCTTAGGCGCACAGGTGGCAGCGAAGGCAAGGGCCCGTGTCAGAGCATGGATCA